GTAATACTAGTAATTAGAATACAACTGAATATGAAAGCCCTAGTGCTAAGTGCTCGAAAGTATTGCCAAGGTTAAAATTTTTTTAGTGGGTCAAACTCTAAAATAAGGTGTAAAAGATATAAACTCCGGAAGGAACTGTTACAATGAGTGGACATGCAATTCCTATATAGTAAAGTATAAAAGCCGTAGCACCAACTGTATGTTCAAAAGTTATGACTAGGGTAAATAAAAGTTTGGTTTTTTTTTCTTTTCGAAAGTGACTCGGACTCGAAGATTTGTTAGTTCCCAAGTAAGGTCTTGTAGAACCAAGCAATGCACATGTAAAATGTAAAAGCCATAGCTCCACCAAATCAAAATTTAATGCCAAGGTTATTTAGGTTAAAGAATTTGCGGACAAACAGATAAATAGACAGACACAGGAACAGACCGAAAAGAAAAAAAAAGAATGTTTAAATTCTAAAAACAGGTTCAGATATCCAATATATAGCTTAAAAATGTTATATAAATCACAATTAGCATTTGTGATTGTCAAGTAGCTGTGTATACCTATTAATGTCAGGACTGTACAGCATTTGATGTCTTCTCCCTGGCCCAGCATCATGTAAAATCGTTTATCAGTTTATGATCTTTATTTTGGAAAATAACGCCACAAACGGCATATTATTTCCAAATATATAGATTGATCAATCACAGGGTTGTAAAGGGAAAAATTCAAGCTATGAAGACAAGTTTAAGTACTTCCATGTGTTTTAGGACTAAAAATATTGTTACCACTTGATGTTGCCAACACTTTTTTTTATAACATTTAATTTAAAAAACTCGAAAGCTTCATGATATATCACCCGAAAATGAAAGTTTTGCACTCACAACAAAAGAATTTACGACCTTGTCATTTGAAGTTTTGTCCTCTAAATAAATTGGGGTTTTCTTAGTCTAAAGGAAGTTGTGGTATAAAATATCAATGCAAAAGCGCAAAGGCTTCTATAGGTATGGCACGGAAATGAAAGTGTTTAAAAGTCAGAATTTTGAATTCATTACCTTGACCTTTGATCTTAAAATCAAAAGGGATCTTCCTTGGGCCAAATCGAGTTATTGTGAAAAATTTTATTGCAAAAGCTCAAAGCCTTCTCGAGAAATTGCGTGGAAACGAAAGCGTTAGAGACCGAGATAACTACGGACAGACTGAAATTTATATTCCAAACTTTCAGCGGGGGACAAAAACTAGCAAGGTAGCAAGTGTGTTCCCGCTTACTTCTTAAGAGGGAGATACTAGTAACTGTTACAGAAATTTTCTTTTATAATCAATTGATTATTAAGATTTTTATTATGTCGCCCCGAACGAAGTCGGACGACATATTGGGATTGTATGCATGTTTTTTTTGTTTTTTAAAATCCAGGCTGTTTATCGGAGATGGCTGGGACAATATTCCTGAAACTTTCCGCAAAGGATGACCACTGGTAGTAGTTGTGTTGTGTGGTTATTCAGTTTCAAAATGACTGCCGTTGCCATGGAAACCTGCAAAAAGCGTCGAAATTTCTCTTGAGAGTGTTCTCTCTGGTCCCTTGAACATTCGTCATGAAACTTTATTTTATTTTAGTGATAAGTAATTGTTGTTGTGCGATTCGCTTTTAAAATTTTCAAATAATTGATTATTGCCATGGAAACCAGGGGAAAGTGAAAATTCTATTACAAAATGATTTTGAAATCAAAGTACTGAAAGGACTGATACGAATTGATGGTTGTCCAAGCTTAGCTAACTGGGTATTGTTTTAGTCATACAAGAAATGAATGTCTTGTCCACTTCGGGGCGACATACGCTATTGCTTGCAATAGCAGACTTTCGGGGGGTTGGGGGTTGGGGGGTTCATTTAAAAAATATTTTCAAGAACGAGAATGGAAAGATAACTTTTGTAGATGGATTTTTTTTTAATTTTACTACCACAGAAAACAATGTGATATTCTGATTTAAAAGACGACGTTTCATTGTGTTTTCTAATGTGAATTAGAAAGGTATGATAGTAAGTATTATTTTTCTATATACACCTCATACATGTATATTTTTATTTATTGTAACATAAGTTATTGATCTTTCTATTTACCATATCAAATTTTCTTCAAATCATGATGAGATATAATATTTATTTCTGTAAAAGTAAGCCAAGCTACATACTTCAAACTATTTTCCATTTCAATCTAATGCTATTAATGTTTATGAAAATCAATGTTGAGAATTAAAAACATAAATTGATGAAATTTGGAGCAGAGGGATATTTCACCTTAAAAATTGAGGTTCTGTGTTACTACAGGCATTGGCACGATAAAGATCCACCACTGCTCAATGACCCTGAATGCCTCGAGTAAATTTGAAGCTCTTCACCCGTATATGAAGACGTCGAAAAATTCTAGAACGGGACTATCAATCAAATGAATCTGAACTTATTTCAACTTGAAGCATATGTTTGTAGCTTAGACTTTGCGACAATATTGCCCGATAAATGACATAAATATGCCACTAGAACACGTTCTTTTATATTTATAAAATAAAAGTCTTACACTGGTTTTCCCTTCTCCAAACGAAGTTGAACATCAGCATGATTTCTTAGGCACTAGAAATAACTCATTTCATTTGAACTAGATTAACTGTGGATAGTTGTGTTCAGCCTGTTATTGCACGGTATAGCTGTAGAATGGGTTAAATGTTTTATGCTTTAACCTTTCTCCTCAAAAGCTTTAAATCATTTTTTAAAAAATATCTTAACAGTGGTCGATTTACTTGCATTAAAATGCATGGATTCTGATAATTCAATTGTTGTTTTCAAGTATGAAGTTTTCTCTTGGAAATCAATAGATAAGTGTCATTGGTTAATATTATGGGTTAATATATATCGAAGGTCTAGGCATAAGGCAATTTGAGAAACATCGTGGACAAGAACACAACTATAAATAAAATGAATATAAATTTACAATATTTATTACTGTGCATCTGTACCAGTTGTATCAAATTAAACCGATCACAAATATGTACATTGGACATGGAATGCCATTTTTTTGACTGGTTATCATGGAGTCCTTGCACTGGAACCTGTGGCTCACAGACACGATACACAGACCGTCACATGTGCTGCTCGATACAACCGGCTACTATAGAAACTTGTCTAACCAGCTGTAATGAAAGTATAAATTTCCCGATGCACAGAACTCAATCATGCCGAATTTGTGAAAATGGTGGCGCGCTAGAACTTGCCTCTATGTCTTGTAAATGTGGTCTGCATTTTAAGGGAGATTGCTGCCAAGGTAAAAATTGCCTTTTTCTATAGATTTTTATATTTTTATTCAGGGTTATTGAATGCTTCATATCAAACCTTTCATATGATATTATTTATTATATTATTTATCGGAATAAATGAAGTATTTTTGAAATATACTATAGAACCGTATGAAGAGGTAAAAAGACAATGTTCCAATCATCTATCCTTTCGATCGTTTTCACTAAATCAAAGGTGTGAAAAGAATTAGAGCGGCTTTATATGAACATTATGCTTACAACATCATCTGTCACAACTGTACAAGGACCTATTCTTTATTTCTACGCCTGAAATTCAAAATTATGTTCGCAGTTCTCTTACTAAGGATGATTTTTTTTCAAAATCACGTTTTATTTTTATATACATTGAACATACCAGTCAAACAAAGTAAATTCTACCCTTTCTATACTGGATATTTTAAACATCATACAAAAATGCTTACAAAGCTAAGATGCATTGCCAGGTATACATTAAATAGTCTAACAAGCCCCTATCTCTTCTCCTTGCAAAATATTCAGTGCTGTAAAGGAGGAAAAAACTTCTGACCTACTGTAAGGCAACATATTCCGTCGTCAATTCAGTGTATAGATAATGGACTAACAGTGAGTATGATAAACGCCAGTCAGCAATTGGGTCAATGATAATTTACATTAGCTGACAAGGTCATTGTATCGACCATAGAACATACGAAATGGTGACTTTAAACGAGACTGCTGATATTCTTGTTACATCAACTTGTTTGTCAATAATTTACCTCGTTTTAGAAATTGTTCATACGTAGAGCATGCTCTTGCGTATCGAATCAACTGAGAGATATAACTCCGTATGCAGGTGATGAAGATATATTACTGCATAAGTAAGAAGAGTTAACGATTTTAAATCACAAATTTTCAAACATCAAAATGAACGGCTTTCCCACACTTTATGCACCCAATCCACAAAACAATTTGAAAATAAGGTTTTGATCAACTGCTTCTCTTCAATCAAAACGAAACTGGAAAGTTTTCATATCTTGCGATCATCTACAAAATACTTTGTTTAAAACGACACTAATTGTTCGCTTTCACTAGCCGCCCTGTTTTTATATTTCTATGAAGCAGAATTTACTTAAAATTGTTAACATAACAAGAAGAAGTCACTTGCTAAGGTTTTCAACTATTCACTCAGATATATCGATGACATTTTATCAATTAACAAAAGTAGCTTCCACTTATATATTGACTCATTATATCCCGTAAACTTGCAATAAGACACCACCAAGTCTGCCCCACCATGACTAGAGTCAATAAGGGCCAACCAATAACGCGAATAAATGACTTCATTTAATCCATCGTCCATTTTCCTAACCATTTTTTCGTCTCCAAACTTATTTGATACCAAAGAGCATCTGTATATAATCTACTTTAAAATCGATGCTGGCTACTTACAAATAATTCGATGTTACAATTTCAACAACCTCGCATTAAGTCCGCATTTCGAAAAACATTTTATATTTAAGAAATATAACATATCTCCGGGATAGTATTTTGGCTGATATATTTGTTAGAACTTCCTAAAAGATGATTTTAAACGAGACTGGTGATATTCTTGTTTCAGCAATGTTGGATGAGACCGTATAAACCGAGGTCTCGTGTCGCTGTAGTACGAAATAATAAGTATAATAAGCATGTCAGTGTCATTGTTATATTTTGTAGATGTGGTGACGTGTCGGGATGACCCCTGTAAGCACGGAACCTGTACCGACCAAGGGACAAGCTTTCTATGTACCTGTGACGAGAAGTACACCGGAGTGACCTGTGATTCACGTAAATATGTACTCAATTGCAAGATCTTCATGTAGTCACTCAGTTTCAGGATATTGTTAGGTCAGAATCTCGAAATCACGGTACTTTTCCAAAGCTGGTCATATAAAATATACATGTTTTCTCTCTTCTCATAATTACATATAATTTTATTGAAAAAGGAAATGTTTGATGTTGAAAAAATTTGATAACTGTCTCTTCATGAAAAGGCATTCAAAAATACAAATACAATATAAGTCAGGCTAGTGACAAATAAATTAATGTTACACCTTTATTGATGTAACAGTATTACCGGCAGTCTTGTTAACAGTAAAATTTCGCAAATGATGTTTGTAACAAAGGTGACAATGTTGCATAATACAACCCATCATGAATGGCTAACGTTTTATACAACTTGCTGAAAGGCATTTGTTGAAGCATACAGATTTGTTCCACGATGTATCTGCTTAAAAAAAAAAAAAAAAAAAAAAAAATATATATATATATATATATATATATATATATATATATATATATATATATATATATATATATATATATATATATATATATATATATATATCCAACGGCAAAAGAAAACCACATTGCCCTGCAGTCATTATGAATATAAATAAAAAAGCAGCAATTCTTGAAAATCGTAAGCTCTTACAATGTTTTCTTCATACTTCAAGTTAATTTTTTTAAGAATGATCCAGCATTAGTTTAATTTTTATGTTTTGGTAAGCACTTTAAATTGAGGCTAAGTGTTTTTATTAGCGTTGGTTCCAGAGGAAACTTCCGAGCTCCTTCTTCCGGAATGGCTTTCATATTTGGAGTACGCAGTGGTGACAATGGTGTCCCTGACAGGTATAATGGTGTTAGGGTGTCTCTGCCTCAGGTGTTGTCAGGTCCTCGGCGTCTCTGACGACGGCGACAGTGATGAAGACGACGAACAGGGACACACAGAGGATTTAGTGATTCTACAGAATCGACCCAAACCGATGGGATTCAACAGGGACAGAGAAAATATGTTTTAGATTAGATTTTAATTGTAATGATAATGATAATGAATTCTTTAATTACGATTTTTCTTCTTTTTTGTACACTATTTTGTCAATATTTTTATATGGATTCTCATATCAATGGAAAAAATCATAGTAATAAGAATGTAGTTTAATTTCGATCATGGATGAAATTCAAATATTTCTGTCTCATCTTCCTGGACGATCTAGCATATACCTTATGTATTCGTATAATAGCTCTTTCAGGTGTTTAAATACAAGTAAATAGTAATTTCTGAATATTTTTGTAATAGTTGCTTACTTGTGTGTCAGTCGCCTGTAACTTTTATTGGTTAATTCTGCATTCATTTTGCTTATTACACAGACAAACACTTAAGGATGAAGACTATTTTCTTGAATAAGGTCATAATCTTATGTCAATCACTTGTGTCTTGTACATTTTTTACGAATAAATACTAGTAGTTTGTTTTGTTTCTCTGTACTATAATATTAGGGAATATCCTGTTGTAAAAATGATTCGATTTAGTCAGTAGGTTGATATGCTATTAAATCACGAGTTATCGAGCTTTCTTTACATATGAAAGGTAGGGAGGGTTTGTTTTTGTAAGAGGTTTTTAATTCCGATTTTAAAGCTTTTAAATGTTGAATTTCTTTCATATTATTAAAAGAATATTTTTAATTGTTTTCCTTAAACCTTAAAAATATAATTTCTGTCCATATCAGAAAGTTTAGAATTGAATTAAAAGGCATGTAGTCAGCGCGCGACTGAAGATGCTATATCAAAGAGTTTTAAACATATATCGATCCTGCTGTTTGTGTCTTTGTTTATTAAAGGGGAATTGCAGTTTTGTTGATATCCAGATAATCTTTAAAATAATTAAATTAATAAAATCGAAGTTTAATATGTTTCATAACACTTAAAACTATATTTAGATATATTTTTTTTATCAATTTCTTATTATTTAAAATTTATTTAAACATTAAAGAGGTTCGTTCCTCAGCTTTTGAGCAGATTTTTGTCTTTACATGTACTTCATTTAAAAATCCTACATAATGTTTTTGTTCTTGCAATAAATCAAAAATATATTTAGAGTCTCCTCGTCAATTCTGTTCTCATATTAATAATGTACAAGACTACAAATACATGTAGTTGTGGTATTGAAAATAAGATAACGTAATAAGTAATAATATAACTACAAAGATATCCAACTTATATTCCTTCATATTTTTAATGTTACAATGTAAGTAGTGGTCAAGATTAAGCTTAATTAAAATATCTTAATTGGAAAAAAAAACCTCAAGAAAATGGTTTATTTGTAGCAATTAATGTCTTCTATTTATTCATAAGGATAAATGGTTTATCAGATTACTTTATCATTATATAATTAAATCATAAAGAATAAATAATACAGAAGTAATGTATCATTAATTTTACATAAAATAATTTTACACACACTACGATTAACATAATACTATTGCTACACAATACTTCAAACAATGAAAAATCTTTACATAAAGTTAAGTGAATACTGCAAATAGGCTTTATGCCTCTCAGTTGATTCGATAGGCAAGAACATGCTCTACGCACGAATAATGCCTTAAACGTGGTAATTTATTGACAAGTTGATGAAACGATATCAACAGTTACGTTAAAAGATTTCATAAGTTCTGTGGTTAATATAATACCTTGTCAGCAAATACAATCTATCATTATATAAGTCAAATGCTAACTGACGTTTTCGAACATATTGTTAAACCATTAATTTATACTGAATTAACGAGGGATTATTTCCCGATCATGACAAACAGAACACGGCGGATGTGACCAGTCTGTAGGGGAATCTCACTGCCCCATTGCACCTGATCCCATCTCTAATGTTTTAGAGGTCTGTGTTTGCTCTGCTCCTAAAATCTCTTAACATAAACGAATTACGAGTAGAGCCAACGCAGACCTTTAAAGAAATCTTTATTAATGATCAACCTAAAGAATTCTAATTTGTCTTCATCATAATTTTTGTTCGATCAAATCTTATGTGTAAACATTTTTTAAATCCAACATCTTTCAAATTTTTATTGATTATTCCAGCATCTTTCAATTTTAAATGTTCTTGTAAATTAGAAATCAACACTGCATTTTTACTGTTTTAAGCAAGAATTCAATATACATTACGTGTTTAAAACAAACAAAGCTGTGTATTTGAAATCTACTGGCAAGTAGCATGAGGGGAAGTCAGGGGAAGATTTTTTTTTTTACTTTTTACCATAGAAAATGTTCATAGAAAGTCCGGTCCACCCTCTCCCATCTTTTTTTTATTAAAGTATCGTTAAAAAGTAATGAAGTGTGTTTGAGTAGAATGAAGTTGGAACTTAACCCCCCCACCCCACCCCCACCCTTCACAAACAAGCACATTTTGTTTTGCTTGTAAAGTTTTTCCGATAAGTTAATTTCTTACTCTGCCTGGACCCTCACCCACTGTCAAAACGATGCTTTAAAATCATTAATGTGAGTCGACATTAATATGATAAAACTGATTTATGAATTTTAATTGTTATATAATGAAGCTCTTATATTTTTCGTTTTTTGCAGTGCATTTCAATTTATAATCTTTAAAAAAGTGTATTTCTATTTTAAAACGCCAAATTCTTTGGCCCTGCATGTTTCAGGATTATGAGGGTATTCTGTGTTCGTGACTTATAGCTTTCTATCTTAAATACCGAATCCGTGTTTGATTTCATCCTACTATGTAGCTTAAAGTTCTGTAAAAGAAAATCAATTGTCAATCGATAGATAAAGATTAAAATGAGAAATTCAATAAATAAAATACCCTGTCTTTTATCTATGCTGTTTTCGTTGTAACATTTACTTGAATGTGGATAATTAATTGATGTGAATATATAACTATATATAGGTGACAAATTGATTTCAGAATTAAGAAATGACGTAGATTTATTTCGCATTTGCTAAATGTAATGTGCAAATATATTTTTTGTTTTAAGAAAGGCTTTGAAACACTCGCTGTACATTTAAATTTTTAATAGTTTGAAATTTATAAATACAAGGGTGTGCAATGGTACTAAACTTTAAAAAGAAACGATTGTAAAGACTAACTTCAATTTCTGAACTTTTTATGCATCACCTACGTCCCAATTCAGGGGCTTCTTATCTTCTCTGATACATGTCCAACAGAGTGGTTCAGAAACCCTTGGTTTTGGAAGATGATATATATCAAAACACAAAAAGGAACGACGTATATAAACTAAATACACAAAGTTCCTGTATTAATTTATTTTTAGCTCACCTGAGCTGAAAGCTCAAGTGAGCTTTTCTGATCACATTTTGTCCGGCGTCCGTCTGTCTGTCCGTCTGTCTGTAAACTTTTCACATTTTCGACTTCTTCTCGAGAACCGCTGGGCCAATTTCAACCAAACTTGCCACAAAGTATCCTTGGGTGAAGGGGATTCAAGTTTGTTCAAATGAAGGGCCACGCCCTCATTCAAGGGGAGATAATTGGGAATTAATGAAAATTTGGTGGCATATTTTCAAAATCTTCTTCTCAAGAACCACTGTGCAAGGAAAGATGAAACTTATAGGGCAACATCCTCAGTTAGTGTAGATTCAAGTTTGTTCAAACCATTACCCCCGGGGGTAGGGCGCGGGCCAAAATGGCCGACCTAAGTTTTACGTAGAAATATATAGGAAAATTCTTTAAAGATCTTCTTCTCAAGAATGACAAAGCCATAATTCATCATATATATATGGAAGCATGCTCAGGTAGTGTAGTTTCAAGTTTGTTCACATCATGACCCCCCCCCCCCCCCGGGGTAGGGCGGGGCCAAAATGGCCGACCAAAGTTTTACATAGAAATATATAGGAAAATTCTTTAAAAATCATTTTCTAAAAAATAGCAAATCCATGATTGGTCATGGGACTACTTTTGGATTTAAACTTTACAATAAAAAGCCATTTTCTACTGTTTCCTACCCTTAGTGCTCAGGTGAGCGATGTGGCCCATGCGCCTCTTGCTTTCATTTGCTAGGGTGTTTCTCTGTCTGGGAAAATGAATCCGAAAACTTGTTTTATGCACGAGACATTTATAAGTAAAACAAAGAAAATACATGTATTAACAGATCATTAAATTTGAAATATGATTGGTACTATGCTTTTCATTTTCTGAGAAAAAACGTAAGAAATGTAAAATAAACGTTGTTTTGGTGGCAAAGAAAAGACTTAAAAGGGTTAAATATGCTTTATAAAAATGTCTTATAAACGTGTGAAGAAGCTTCAGATCAATATCATATCGTTTTTGGTTTTTGGTGTTAAATGAAAATTTAAGTTTAAGTTAAATGCTGACTGACGTTTTTTTTCAAACTAATTGTTAGGAAAGTATTTACACACTGAATTGTAACGGATTTTCCCGTTATTTCCCAATCATATGACAAGGAGCACTCGGCGGGTGTGACCGGTCGACGGGGATGCTCTTTCCTCCAAGGGAGCTGATCCCTATAAATATTTGAGTTTGAATATTGTTAAATGATCATATTTTATTTATTTATACACACAAATACATATATTATAATTAATAATCAATTTTTTTTAATTTTTGGAAAAAAAGTTTCATAGCCCATTTAGCAAATTTAAAAAAAAGTAATTCAGAGAGACAACAATAAACATCATATGGGAAACATGACGTATATTGAAAGATACTTTTCATTTATATGTTATGTAATGGTTTTAGTTTATTTATTTTCTTATATATATTCAAACACTCAAATAATAAACTGATTATAATTGTTCGTCGGCTTTAATCGAACTGAAGTGACTTACATGACAGTTTGAGTTGTCTTTCGAAGGTTTTTGCTTAAACAGAAGAAACTGTTTTCAAACTTCACTCATAATGGTTTTTCTCTCTCTCTTTTAGATTTTCTTTATTAAATATTTTAGAAAAAATGTTCACATTTAATATTTCTTAATAACACAATATTGTGAAATTTTCAAAAAGAAGAAAATGAAGCTAGTTTTAACTCTTTTATTTGGTGAATTTTTATTAATATCTTTAAAGAGTATCCGTCATGTTTGTAAACTCTTGTGAATATTTTTTATCGTCATTTACTTGTGGATAAATGTTATAGAATATTGAAGCTCTGTTGTATTTTACAGTGTGTTGGTCTGCGTCATTTCAATATTCATTGTCATAATTTGATAATGTAGAAATTAACAAGTTCTTCACTTTGTATTTTAAAATTGGACTATGAGAAAAAAAAAGAGTGCACCTACTCTTTTTCTTTATCAGAGATAAATTTTCTGTTACATAATTTACATAAATCCCCTGATTAAAAACTCACTTTTAAAATTCCACTTTGAAAGACAATTTAACTTTGATTCTAAGAGGGCCTTTATAGTTCAAACGCCCATACCGTGTAATTAGAATAGACATTGCCACACAGTGTCTCACTACCTTCTGGGACATTGATCCATTACAAAAAATCAAACGATCCCTCTTATTTTTAACTCTTTTCCAGGTGTATGCAAGGGATCTTTTAAAACTAACTAGTCCCTTGTTTGAGTATTGCTTATCTTTAGTCTGATGTTCTTAATTATGACTCAAAGTACACTGTATATCAATAAACAGGTCCAAAATTTAGATATCTGTATTTTTGCACAAAGAAAATATCTACAAAAATAATCAATTTTATTATATTTTCCAGTGATGATATTTTAAAAAGACACAACATGTCCGTCATATTAAAGTCATTATTTAAAAAAAAAATAGCTTTGAATAATAATTAAAAGTCCGGTAATCTAATTATTTAAAAAAAAAAAAAAAAGAACTTTATTAATCTAACTAAAGAAACAGAAAATCGGCAATACTTCTAAATAGAATTTTGAAAAAGGAGTACTCAGAAGTTAAAACATATATGAAATACATGTATATGAAATAACAAACAATATTCAAGCTCAAAAAACTATTAAACAGTACAAATTAGGTGCAGAACAGAAACGGACCACTAAACCATCAGCGATGGGACCAGGTACCATGGATGAGTGAGAATTCTCTGCCACACCCTACCTGTGCTCCTTGTCCTGGCCAGGAGATGATATAAACCCCTTTCTCTCAGTTGATTCGATACGCAATAGCATGCTCTACGTATGAACAATTTCTTAAACGAGGTAAATTACTGCCAAAACAAGCTTAAGTTGATGAAGCAAAAATATCAAATCCCGTTTAAAGTCATACTTTCGTTAGTTCTATGGTCGATTCAATGACCTTATCAGTAAATACAATTTATCATTGAGTCAAATGCTGACTGACGTTTTTCATACTGATTGATAGGCCATTATTTACACACTGAATTGACAGAATTTCCGATCATGTCAAGGAACACACAGCGGATGTAACCGATTGGCAGGGGGATGTTCTATCATCCATGGTGCCTGATCCCAACTCTGATGTTTTGGAGGTCCGTGTTTGCTCTGCTCCTATTTTGTATTGTTTTATCAACTTTTGAGCTTGAGTACTGTTCGTTGTCTCTATATATTTCATTATTTCAATTTTAAAGACAGGAAAATAGATGAGAGATTTCAACGTCCATCTGATAATCAAATGGAAAAGAGCAAATATTGCAGTGTGTGTCATGATCTCTCAAAGGTAATCTAAAATCGATTACTTCTTTTGTCAAATTATAATTAATTCATATATACATTTAGCTTCATTGACATTTAAATAAATCGTAAAAATATATACTAATTGCATTATCTAGGTTTAAGTACGTCAAGGTTATATAACTTACACTCTAATAAAATGATTGTGATAATTAGGATGAAGTTTTTACTTATTCATAGATGAATCGTTCATTACTTTGGAATGAAATTATGCTCGACGAGAATGTGATAAATGTATTATTCTCTTCTACCTTTGCCTGGTCGGAACGACTTGTGTTCGAATCACGACCAAAGTAAAAAAATACGAAGCAACTGTTTTTTCACCAAACGCTCGGCACTTTGAAGTGAAAGTTGAGGGTCAATTTAATGAGACCTTCAAAATCTAGGACCCCTGTCATTGTAGGCAATAGCACGATGAAGAACCCTCACTGCTCCGCAGCCCTGAGTGCCAGTGAAGGTCTAAATTTGAATCCCATCACCAGTATATGGCGATGTCTCTATATGAGTGAAAATTCTCGAACAGGACGTAAAACAACATGCAATCGATCAATCTTCTACCTATAGTTTTCAAATGGTATTGATTTCAATTCATGAATGCAACGTTTACAGAAGCACGGATTTCGTTTTCTTTTAAATCAATAGATAAGAATTCAAAGTAAATACAGACTTTATTATCACTTACTTATAGGCTATCAAAAAGCAGTTAATAATAATATTAGGGAAAACTTCAAGCTAATAAAATGGATCTCATGAAAGTTTTATTACAGATGTTTGCCTTTTATACGAGTACAATTTTGGCAAGTGACTGTTCTCGTGAACCAGAGTGTCATTTGTTTGATTGGAAAGAATGGGGTTCGTGTACTGGTGCCTGTGGCACACAGTCACAGCAAAGAGAGCGCAACATGTGCTGTTCCACTTCTGTTAGTCCTCACACCATAGAAAACTGTCTGAAACATTGTAAACTGCCTTCGAGTTTTAAATTACATGAGTCTAAATCATGCAGAATATGTGAAAATGGCGGTACACTGAACATTTCATCTCTATCTTGCAAATGCGATCTGTATCATAAGGGGGATTGTTGTCAAGGTACGTAAGCATACAGATAATCATATCTAACAATGAAATGTTAGGTTCTTTCCAAATATTGAAATTGCATGCAACCATAACAACAAAGCCAAATACGAAACTTCAAGTTAACAAACAGCAACTGAGCTTAATAGTCCATTTGAATAATTCAAATCGGAGGAGAGGAAACACCGAACATCAGAGGCGGGATCAGGTGCCACTGAAGAGTAATTATTTCTTCTCGACCAGTCATGATCGGGCAAACAGCAGGAAAACACTTTTTTAATGTCTTTTTAAATTTCCCCATTTTTATGATTATCGTTTAATTCAATTCGGAATTTACAACGTTATTAAAGATAAGTTTGGTTATCATATCTAAGATTCTAAAAAAGATTGGAATTTGCTTCTATGCCTAATTTCCTCACTCTTTTAGACGTGGTGAAATGTCAAGATACCCCCTGTAAACACGGAAATTGTACCGATATTGCCTCCACTTTTACCTGCGTTTGTGAAAGAGGATACCAAGGACCAATTTGTGATACAAGTAATTATCCGTATTATTGTCTTATTATACTTTATTCAAAACTACTTATTTTCATTGCAAAATTCCTTTCATATACTATAAGGTAATATAACTTTCTGGCCAATGTAATCAAAAGGAACATGAAAAAGTATAATATCATGTAATATGCTGACAAAAATTATCAATCTGTATTTAAAAAAAAACAACTTTTATATAATTAGGAAAACTTTGCAGTCAAGGAATATTGTGTGACAATGGTGGAACTTGTGTGGACGGGTCGATTGGGTTTAAATGTCAGTGTACAGACAGATATACAGGAGATTTCTGTGATAAAGGTACGATAAATTTCTAGGTTTAAAATGTTAAATAATTTTTCAAAATAACATTAAAGTATATATAAGGTCTTATTGCTTCAAAGTTTCTATGGACATTTTCAAGATTGTATTTACATGAATACGAGGGTTGATCCAAAAGTTCGTGGAATTTCTTTGTAAAATTTTACCATGATTTGACAAATGCAAACAATAGGCATATTTATAAAATAGAGTCATAATGCAGCAATACTGGAAAATTTCACTACGTTCCAATTACCAATAAGGTCACAAGAGCTTTCTGAAAATGGATAGTTGTGAAACCCGGGGGAGACTTTGACGTAACGTCAAGTTAGGTTATGTCACGTCACGTTAGAATCATCTCACCCTAATGTCAAATTCGAACACGTAATTCTTCAAAATGCTGATCTTTTCTCCATTTTTTTTTCTTAAGAAAAGCCTGGGTATGCTCTCGCACCAATTTATCTTCATTTTTTACTTATATTTCAAAATACCCCCCTTCTTTCCATATGATGTTCCGATTTCAGTAGCAATGTCAAGAACAGTACGTCAGCCGACAAAGTCTTTTAACGCTTTCAATTTATCAAGGGGAACAACACTTAAAACAGAGCCTCAAAAAGGCGGCCAAACCTTTAATCAATGTCCATGAAGATTCTATTTTTCTTCATTTTCGTACGCCACTGGAAAACCAGTGGCTAAATGCATTTTTCCTCAGTCTATGTCAATAATATACGCATTTAAGATAGAGTGATCCCGGGATTTTCACAAAAGTTATGACTTGACCGAAATTTGACGTCGTCTAACAACCTTAAGATGAACATAAAATTATTAACTAATAAACAAAATATCCAGTAAAATCATTAAAATACACACACAAAGGTTTATAAAAGATCAAGCAATCGTAATAATGACATAATTTTCGTTTCCTATAACACGAAGAGCGGTTTAATTCTCATTTCAAGTATTAAGAATTAAAATGATAATAAACGCGTTGATGTCTCCCCCGCATTTCCAAACATCCGTTTCTATGGCAACTGCCATAGAGTTACTATCACAAATATTTAAAATATTTTTTAATCTAAAATATTCAACAAGTGTCTTTATTCTCATTTGTAATTTTCAACCAATTTCACTTATAAATGAATGAAATACTAAGAAATTCCACGAACTTTTGGATCAACCCTCGTACATGATTCAAATTTCGTTATAGCATTTTTCAAAAACGAAATTAATACCATTGTGACTTTTAGGAGATATGAAAAGAATGGAGGCATACAAGGCGAGGACAATCCCCCATCCGAAAAAAGACATTTCTCAATTCTAAAAGTTATATTTTTCAAAATTATATGATTTATATCATCTTTTAAACATTTAATTCTGCATTTCATTGTTTTAATATTTTATTAATAATTTATTTTTTACTCATGTTTTAAGATATGTGAAAAAAAAACAGAAAAAGCTTCACGCATGCTCCGAACTCTCTCCATAGCGCAGGGTTTGGTCCAAGAACAACCGCTTTCACCACTTCGCTACGAAGTATATGCATTATCGACCTATGTCAGTGTGATTTAAATGAACGGGATTGTTAAAGTGTACATTTTTTCAGAAATTTTCGATTTTCATACAGAATGGGTTCTGATTTCATTTTTTGGACAGATGAAATAGATTTCACATTTACTTTTCCTTCATTTAAGCGTTCACGAAGAATGGGGACTTGACCCATTCATGTTCAAAATTCGTTTTTATAGCTCTATTAAACCCATTTTCCACTAAATATGCTTTACTGTCAACTTTGAAATAAAGATTATCAAATGATAAGTTGTTCAGTAAAATAAAATAATAAAATGATTTGAAGATGACATTACTGATAACATGATTTTAGAAAAATATAACATTTCTGTGAATTTTGAAAATTGAGAAACATTTTGTCTCAGAGCGGGGGATAGTCCACGCCTTGTACGCACTCTTTCTTTATTTTTTTCTTACTTAGGGATTATTTAACAAAGCAATTCTAAAAAAAAATGGATATCCGATATAATAAAATGTTTTATGGGTGATATTTCAGCGTTGATAACAGTGGAGGCTTCGGAACTTCGTCTTCCAGAATGGATTCAATATTTGGAGTACGGAGTGTTGTCCATGGTGTCCCTAATAGGTCTCATGACCCTGGGATGTGTTTGTTTGAAGTGTTCTCGAGCGTGTGGTGTCCGCGACAACAAGGACGACGACGATTACGACAAAGAAAAAGATTTAAGGAAAAGAAGAAAAAGAATTGTACATTTTACAGAGAACCACTCAAAACCATTAGCCACGGGGATTGACTTTTAAATCCTATAACTTCTCTGATTACAACGATTAACTAAAATAAGACCTATTAGATTGACAAAGAGCACACGGCAGGTGTGACCTCTGGGGATGCTCACTTCTTGATGGCATCTGATCCCATCTCTGATGTTTTGGAGGCCCGTGTTTGTTCTGCTCCTACTTTGTATTGTTTTATGGACTTTTGAGCTTGAATACTATTCGTTATCCCCATATTTTTCATTAATTAAAATCTTATCCTTTTTTCTTTTATGAAATCCTAGTTAGAAAGACAATCACATTGAATGATATGATGCAGTAAGGAGTATTCACATATCGAATTTGCAAAAGTTCTATTTCATTATCTATGAATGATATCGATTAGTCGAAGTCTGATGTGTGCCAAATAAAAATATAGCCATTTTATCTAAAGACAAAATTGGGCTAAATTGTTTTAAAATAGATTAAATCAGTAAAAAAAAAAAGTAATGCTGGATTCTAATTTTTTTGTGGTTCCCTTGAATGTCTTGATAATTCTTAAATCAGGTTTCAATCATGTTCGATCACGTTCGAGGAGTTTTGTGTTTTAAAGATCATTCATTTTCAATTGTTGCTATGAATGAAATATTGCTGGTGTTAAACAATATTTATAAATCATTTTTAATTGTTGCAGTGATTACAGAGAATGTGGTTTTCTTAAAATTCTGAATGCAAAACGTTTTATACTTCATTACATTACATTTGATATCTTTGTATATTGTGCTTTTATAAGAAAATAGATTTAAGGAAAATTAAACATTGGTTTGTCATTATATTTCATGAGTAACTGCAATTTAGAAAGTGTCTCTTGATCGACTCGACTTAAAGGTGAAAGTGAAAAAAAAAACACACAGTGATAGATCTCATAAAACTAACAATCCCGTGTGGGAGTAGGTGCTGGCAAAGAAAAAGACCCCTCCCTGCTTTTGAAATGGCCATGAGTGCCGAGCATAGGAAAAAATTGGCAGCTCTTCACCGGCAAGTGATGGCGTCTCCATATGAGTGAAAAATTCTCGAGAGGGACGTTAAACAACATACAAACAAACCAACAATAGAAGTTTGTGGACAGTTTGACACAAATACTGCTTCGGAAATTCTGGAGATGTGACCAGGTGTCAGGGAAAATGAAGCACTTCCTGATTCCGGTCACATCCAACGTGAACCTTGTCTGTGTTTTGATCAGGCAGAAAAATATTCCGTAAATCAAATTAGTACAAAATAAAGGCATATCAATTGGTGTGGTTTCCTGCCAACAAAATGACCCATTTATAGATCATAATTGTAAACAACTTCATTATAACATCATAAAATTTACAAAATGCTTAAAAGTTAGACTTATAACATCAACTTGCTTGCCGCGATAAAAAAAACGATCTTTCTCAGAGCAGGGTCTTAAGTATCAAATAAGTTGGGAGACACAGACACCATAAGCAGGTGATAGTGGAATATAACAACATGAATAAGGACAATTGACAATGGCAAAACTTTTAAAATCCATTTCCTTTTTCATACAGTTCAGATGTTAGTTGGCCCAATTCAATGTTGAGTAGAAGGTATTAAACATTAAAATTCCTAGGTCTAGGGATACAAATTAGCGATGTATCAATCAATTAATAATGTATTAAGTTACACAAATGTTTGCTTCCAGTCAGTGATAAGCTTTCATGAAATATATGGAATATGTGCAGCTACTTCTTCGAATGCGTGTCGGTTAAAAGACGGTCACGTTTTGCAGCAACATAGTTTAATTAAATATGGATATATCAAACAGTATCGAGCTGAAGTTTATTTATACAACACAAATCTGGGGCAGAGCAAACAAAGACCTCCAAAAGCAGCAGAGATGGAATCTGATGCCCTCGAGAAATAAGCATCCCCTTCTGACTAGTCACCTCCATCGTGTGCTCCTTGTCACGATTGGGAAAAACGGGAAAAATCCTGAGACAATTAATAAATAATAGCAAATCAGTAAGATTTTTTTTCTGACAATGACATTGAATCGATCAAAAAAATAAACTTGTGAAATTATAACTTCAAACAGGACTGTAAAAATTTCTTCCTTTTTTTTTCAGCCTATTTATCACTGGTTTGCCTCATTTAAATTGACAAATGTTCAAATGTTTATATCACTTTAAGATCTCACAATTGTTTCTCTTTTTTTTTTTAACTTTTTTGATTCTAAGGATGATCTTTTAAGAACAAGCCTTCATATCCATCGATTTAAAGCTGTTTAGTTTATTATTGCATTCACTGTTTCTTTTTATCACTGTGATGACCAGTGGCCCTTTTCACAAAAAAATCTTACGACTAAGACAAAAATTTTCCCATTCTCCAACGTGTATCTTCTATCTTCTTTCTATTACTAAAGACAACATTGTAAGTAACATCTTAGAAACAAATTAATATATCTTATTACTCATTTTATAATCTTACATAATATATCTTAATGGATGAAATTCATTTATTATAATCTTAAGAGTTGTGAAATTTTTCTCTTAGTCGTAAATTTTTTGATTAAAAGGGCCGCTTTTATGCGATTTTTATGCTAAATGTTCATGCGTTTAAAATTAATCTTTTCTAAGTCTTCGGTGATTAAGAAGCTCTCACTTCAAAATCAATAGACACGTATTTTACAAATATCAGATGACTCTCCGTGGTCTTTTATATAGCGCATTGCAGGTTAAGTGGCAACATGTTCAACCTTCTAATTTGAAACATGAAGTTAAGAGTAGTATCTTTATTACTGTACATCTGTACCAGTTGTATCAAATTAAACCGATCACAAATATGTACATTGGACATGGAATGCCATTTTTTTGACTGGTTATCATGGAGTCCATGCACTGGAACCTGTGGCTCACAGACACGATACACAGACCGTCACATGTGCTGCTCGATACAACCGGCTACTATAGAAACTTGTCTAACCAGCTGTAATAAAAGTATAAATTTCCCGATGCACAGAACTCAGTCATGCCGAATTTGTGAAAATGGTGGCGCGCTAAAACTTGCCTCTCTGTCTTGTAAATGTGGTCCGCATTATAAGGGTGGTTGCTGCCAAGGTAAGGGTTGACGGTTGTATATATTTGTTTCTGGTTATTTTTCTTCATGTTGGCCTTTTCATTGCTTCCAATTGAAATATTAATATATCATATTTTGATATAACCACGATTCCCCTGATTACATTTAAGTCAAATAAACTACAACTGTTTGTAGAAACAGACATGTCCTATTTGAGGACAGATGATACAAACAAACTTTTGGCGAAAAATGAAATTAACAACTGGACTAATTAGTAAAATAAACAAGGTTCAATGCGTAAATTTCAATTTTTCAATCGAATTTTCTCAACTATGGGATTTGAAGTGAAATATATTTGTATAAATTAATAAGAATGGTTGCAGAAAGGTACGTTAGAATTCTGCACACTTTCTTTATATATATGTTTTAAAATTTATCATTTGCATCATTTACAACAAAAAGTATTCTAGAAATATATTCCAAATTTCAATGTAATTCTTTTGTCCGTGAAAAAAGAAAATCAAAACTCTTCACTTGGCAAGAAGCAAATATTTTTGAATATTTGATAAATAAAATAAATAAATAATTATAATTCAATACACTTAATTGACAGTTACCATATCGGCATACAACATGAACATTTATGTAATAACATGACATAAATTTCAATGTGACTGCTCAAAAAGAGTAATTGTGCAGTCCAAAAACCGATATTACTTTAATCATATATCTTCATTATAATTGTAGATCTGGTAACGTGCCAGGATGATCCTTGTAAACATGGTACCTGTACTTATGAAGGGGTAACGTTTACCTGTACCTGTGACAAGGGATATACCGGGACAGTCTGTGATACACGTAATTATCTATACAGTATTTTAATCATGAGGTATGATCAGGTATTCATATAGTATAATGTAGTCTCATAACACGACGAAAAAAAAAACATTAATTGTTTAGAATGGAGAATTTTAAACCTCTTTGGATGTCTTTTTCAGGTTTTTCAATGTATTAGGTATGACTACAACTGAAAGCAATAATATTATTTATGTCGTGTTATACTTTTTAAATGACTTAACTGCTTTCAGTGGAAACATTGGAACTTCCGGAGTCGGTTCGATATGTAGAATACGGCTTGCTGTCACTGGTGTCCGTGATAGGAGTTATGGCCACCGGATGTGTTTGTCTGAAGTGTTGTCAAACCTTTGGCATCAACAAGAAAAGTGGTACTGACGATGACGATGATGAAAATGAAGACGAAAAATGGAAAAAGAACAGGAAGAATCTGATTTTTCCAGAAAAAGACTCAAAATCAAAGAGAGTTCGGCTGGATTTTTGAAACCAAAAGAATGACATTTTAAGTACAAGTACTTACTCGTATGGTTTGCCGCTAGATTTACTATAGATTTACCCTTTAAACAAAATCCTTTTTTGGAAGGTTTACATACAACACAAGCAAGAGTAAAAAAATATGTAAAATTTGACTTATCTAACTTATCGAATTGAAAAAGGAGAAAGATTCGATATTCATAGTTTAAGTATCAACTTAGATTCTGACCAAAAAAACTTTTGAAAATTTGAAGAAAATTTCATATCGGCTGATACTAACCTGTGACATTGGGTTTTACAAAGATGAGCAAATTCTTTTGATGGATATATTCAAATTTTAGTTATGCTTTTAAGATGTAAAAAAAGTTTGACTATATTTTTACGGATATTCCATAGAATCCATTCTTAAATAAAAATGACCACTAACCGTTTAGGACAAAGGACTTTTTATTTCTGTTTAAACAATCTTTTTAGTTTTTGTCATGGATTGTCGAAATGTGATTTTTTTTTATGAAAGAGTCGAATTTTTAATTTTTGTAATAACTGATCACCTTTAATTCTAAATGTAGGTTATTGCTTTAAGTTTTGATGCATATTCTTCATTTAAAACTTGCATTTCGAATCAAGAAAATTTTTATCATAACTATCATTATTCGCTTTTGACTAAAGTGGGCTTAGGGTTAATCAGGGGATGAAGTGTACAATGCTTTTTAAATCACATTTTTGGATGAATAAACAAATTGATATACTTATGGAATATATAGATACATCGAACAGTACTGCAGTATTCAAGCTCAAAAGTTTATTAAACAAAGTTTAGAGAAACAAAATCTTGTTTCATCAACTTGTTTGTCAATAATTTACCTCGTTTTAGAAATTGTTCATACGTACAACATGCTCTTTCGTATCGTTTAACAAAAATGTTATTAATTATTTTTATTACCTGAATTTCTCATTGCCAGTATCTGATAAATTATGTATAAAGAGCATTCTTATTTGTAAGTTTTGATCAGATTTGAACATCCACGTATATTCTGTGTGCCAAATTGCTAGCTGCAGAACTGTAGCTCTCCGAAAAATATATTGACAGACCGAAGAGTTACAGTACCACCCATTAAAATTGTTATATTTATTGCTCCCAAAAAGTTGCGCTTGGTTCTGGTTTAAGGTATTCAAAGTATAATGACCATATTTTGTACCTAATAAATGAATGGTCCGATATTTTTTAATCATGGTAGCATTTTGAAGATGTTATCAAAGAAAAATGTTCCACCAAATAAAATTTTGCTTATTGTCCAATTAATTGCACCTTGAATTTTACACTGAAGTCTATGGGCATAGCATGTTTTTATAAGATATTGTAAAAAGTAATTTAGATTTCAAACAAATCTATTGGTGAAAATATGCATAAACTCCCTCTTTATTAAGTTATGAAATAAAATGAATTATTTACCATATAAATTTTGAGAAATAAAAAATTTTCTTCTTTTCATCAAGGGCAGATAACTCTTCACAAACTTTTTATGTGCAAAATGACCGTCTCCTTACGTGTTATCAGTCTTGTAAATTTGGTTCATTTCACTTTTATCGTTATCTAGAAATGTGTTTTTAACTAGTTTAAAATTATTTAAAATCTTTCAAAATCCCTTCATTTACATTGAATACCTTAATTCTTCCAAATCCTTACTAAAATTGTACAAAGGGCTAGATTTCAAAGAAAAAGTATCTCCTGCGAAATCAAGTACTAGAGCAAAGTTGACATTTTCACGAAGCGCGTTGGACCGAATTATTTTCCAAACCAAAATGGCAGTATAAATAGGCGAAAATTTCGATGTACTCATTATCAGGGCCAGGAGGGCTATTAACAACAATTATTAGGAATGTTTTGTTGTGGAAACAGTGAAAAAATGTTAGAAGCACATGGTTATCAATAGTTTGAGATGACATTTTTAAAAACATGGAGAAATAAATGTAGAAACAGCGCGCTTTTTGTGCGCAGTAAGTATACAGTTTTTTCAATGGGTAACACTGTAGCTATCCGGTCTGTCAAAATATGATTTTTTTTTTGGAGAGCTACAGTTCTTCAGCTACAATTGCATGACAGAAATTATAAAATCCATAATTTAAAGATCTATTTATTTACTGTATATATGTAGACCCTACAGCGTTTTATCTAATTTTTTACTCATGCATATTGAGAAGTTACCAACTTAAAGGTACTTGGACACAGATTTGAAGTTAATATTTTCTCTAAATATTACAACTTATGTATTTTAAAAGCATTTCACACAAAAATTAATTAAAAATCTTATTTCGTTTAAAAGTTATTAAAACTTTAAATTCTTTGGCGGGTTTGATTGACACATCCTTGCACTTTCACAATTTTTAACTTTATTCTTAATCCTTAGGAAAAATGGCAATCCTGATGTGTATTTATGAAAAATATTAATACTATAATCCAGAAAATTCAGAGTAGACAAGTACTAAAGCAAATTCTACCACGATTATCGGAAACCTCAAAGGAAACCGCCGGACATTATTCTCCAATAAATCACGAACGTCATCAAAAAATTATCAGATCAGAAACACGCATCAAATCTTAACAATTCAAATGCATGTTTGGCTGTAGAATGAAATACTTGTTTAGACCGCATCGGTGTGTCGTCTTTTGCAGTATAAACACTGTCAATTGCATCAAGTTGCTGATGAATGTCGGTTTTTATAGCTAAGCGCGGCTATTCCACGGACCTCCCTACACATTAAAAAACGTGATTTTAGCAGTAAAACAAGAACATGATTTTGATATTGTATATTCTTTTTAACTGATCAATACATATTAGGAACATATTTGTAATTTAAAAAGGCTATTTTTCATGTAACGAAGGCTCAAATTGTCTGCATTCTATGTACAGGTAAGCAAACAAATTTTACCTCTGGTGTTAAATGAAACAGCGTAATCGAGACATTGTGACCTAATTCGTTTCTCTATAGAGGAAACGATTATCCCTAATTTAGCGTTTGTAAATTACTTGGTAAATCTTTCAAAAAGTCCTTGTTGTCAATGATGCATTGAATAACCTCCTCGGTCTCGAAATGTTGTTTGAAATATAAAAGCCTCGGCTAGCGCCTCGGCTTTTATCAAAAAACATTCTCTCGACCTCAAGGAGGTTATTCTGCAACCAAAAACGCGGACTTTATTTCTTAAACAAACACACAATATATTGTCAGTCCGTGCAGATGTGGTGAACAGACTTTGGCGATTTAACGCACCCGATGAATCGTAAACACCAAACAATAACTTGTTTACAAAAACCTGTGTACATAACACAAGTGTGATTGATTCGCAAAACTCTGTACACAACGGAATGACGATACTTGTTAAGTAGCGCGCTTTTAACATTTTTACTCTGAATAAAATTATTCTTTTTGATTTAAGTTTTAATATTTCTCATTAATACACATCGGATTGCCACTTTTCCTAAGGATTAAGAATAAAGTTAAAAATTGTGAAAGTGCAAGGATGTGTCAATCAAACCCGCCAAAAAATTTAAAGTTTTAATAACTCTTAAATGAAATAAGATTTTTAATTGATTTTTGTGTGAAATGCTATTAAAATATATAATTCGTGATATTATACAGAAAAAATGAGAAAATATTAACTTCAAATCTGTGTCCAAGTACCTTTAAGAAATTGTTTAAATTAGGTAGATTATCACGTGATCGGGCCAAAAAACTTCATATTTTACAGTCGTTGGCATGTTTTTCATCATATTTCACCTCTTAGGATACCTAGTACATTTTCCCGCAATATAGTTACCGTTCGTTGAAAGAAAACTCCCGAGAGTAGTAGACGTCACCATAGCCTGGATTACGTCACAAAATTGGTTTCAAAGGGTTTCACCAACTTTGCGTTAAAATGAGAGCGGGGCCGAATTTGAAAGTTTATGTTTATTTTGCTTGTTTCGGTATAATAAAGAATTTTTTGCAGGAAATATGGTGATTTATTCAGCCAAGAAACATCATATTCCCCTCGAACAAAGCCCTCGGGGAATACGATTTTTTTTGGCTGAATAAATCTTCATATTTCCCTCACTAACATGCAATAAACGTATAATATCACAAGCGTATGTTACACAGTAGATACCATCCTCCGCAACAACATGTTTTTCAAACAACAATCAGTTTGTGATCGATATGTTTACTGTCTCATTTGTCACATTTTGTGAAAAACCCATTCTGCAGTTGACATCAAAAAGATGCTTGAGATTTTGATTGACAATATCTATGTGGTTTTCGGAGACCAAGACTTCAAACATTCTATTGGAATTCCAATGGGTACGTTTTGCACCCCGTTATCAGAAGAACTATTTTTGTTATCTTATGAAGCAGAATTTATGCAAAATCTTATGCGTGAAAAGAAGAAAACACGCTGTGGTCTTCAACTCAACATTTAGATATATCGACGACGTACCGTCAATTAACAATGGTGATTTCCATTCCTGTGTCGATACGATATATCCTGGTGAGCTTGAGATAAAAGATACCACACAGTCTTACACATCTGTTTTATACTTGAATATTTAAACTTGAAAAAGACATTAATGGTAATCTTACAACCAAGCTCTATGACAAACGTGATGACTTTAACTTTTTTAATCGTCAACTTCCCTTACTTATGCAGCAATATACCTTCATCACCTGCATACGGAGTTTATATATTTCAGTTCATTCAATACGCAAGAGCATCCTCTACGTATGAACAATTTCTAAAACGAGGTAAATTATTGACAAACAAGTTGATGAAACAAGAATATCAATAGTCTCGTTTAAAGTAATCATAAGTCATAATCTTTGGTCGATAAAATGGCCTTGTCAGCAAATACAAATTATCATTGAGTCAAATGCTGACTGACGTTTTTCATACTAATTGTTAGTCCATTATTTATACACTGAATTGTCGACAGATATTTCCGTTATTTCCCGATTATGACAAGGAGCACACAGCGGGTGTGACTGGTCTGCAGGGGATGCCCCCTCCTCCATGGCACCCGATCCCACCTCTGATGTTCTGGAGGCCAGTGTTTACTCTGCTCCTTTTTTGTATTGTTTTATGGACTTTTAATCTTGAATACTATTTGTTATCACCATATGTTTCCTTTAGTCTCACAATTCATATTGTTTCTCCTTCTCTAAACTATTTTTGATTCTCCGGATGGTCTTTTAAGAACAATTCTTCATATCCCTCAATTCAAAATTGTTCACCTTATTAGTGCATTCACTTCTCACTGTTCCTTTTTTTACTGTGATGACCAGTGGCCCTTTTCATATAAAAATCTTTCGACTAAGACAAAAATTCTCATTCTCCAACGAGCATCTACCTTGTACTTTATCACACAAACTCTCTTTCTTTTTATTTCTTAAGACAACATTGTATGTAACATGTTAGAAACAAATTAATATATCTTAATAGATATATTTATTTTTTATAATCTTACAGAATTATGGAATTTTAATCTTAGTCGTAAAAGTCTTTATGAAAAGGGCCACAACTTTTTATGTTATAAATTCTTGCCTTTAAATTAATCCTGTCTTAGCCTTCGGTGATTACGAAGCTCACACTTCAAAATCAATAGATAAGTATTTAATAAATATCAATTGACTCTCCATGGTCTATTATACAGCGCATTGCAGGTTATGTGGTATCATGTTAAACCCCCTAATTTGAATTATGAAGTTAAGAGTTGTATCTATATTACTGTACATCTGTACCATCTGTATCAAATCAAGCCGATCACAAATATGTACATTGGACATGGAATGCCATTTGTTTAACTGGCTACCATGGAACCCGTGCACTGGTACCTGTGGCTCACAGTCACAATTTACAGACCGTAGAATGTGCTGCTCCTTAGTTCCGGCTACTCTAGAAACTTGTCTGACCAGCTGTAATAGAAGTATCCATTTTCCAATGCACAGAACTCAATCATGCCAAATTTGTGAAAATGGTGGCACGGTAGAACCTTCTTCTCTGTCTTGTAGATGTGGTCCGCATTATAAGGGTGGTTGCTGCCAAGGTAAGGGTTGACAATTGTATCTTTTTGTTTCTGGATATTTTTCTTCATGATGGCCTTTTCAATGCTTCCAGTCGAAATATTTCGCACAGACAAGATTCTCCTCTTCACATAAGTAGTTAATTAAAATAAACTACAAATTATTGTAGAAACAGACAGGTCCTATTTGAGGACAGATGATACAAACAAGCTTTTGGCGAGAATGAAATTAACAACTGCATTAATTAGTAAAATAAACAAGATTCACCGCATAGATTTTAATTTTTCAATCAAAGTTTCTCAACTATGGGATTTGAAGTGGAAAAAAATATTTGTATAAATTAATAAGAATGGCTGCAGAAAGGTTCGTTAGAATTCTGAATATGATAGAAGGTTAACACTTTCTTAATTTTTTTTTAATTTATCATTTGCATCATGTGCAACAAAAAGTAGTCCAGAAATATATATCAAATTTCAATGTAAATCTTTTGTCCGTAAAAAAGAAAATAAACAGTCTTCACTTGGAAAGAAGCAAATATTTTTAACATTTGATATCAAATAAATAATCATAACTCAATTCACTTAATTGTCAATTACCATATTGGCATAGAATTATGAACATTAATGCTAGGAACACGACACTTTTTAATTTGACTGCTCAAAAAGAGTAATAATGTATATCAAAACCGATATTAATTTAATCACCTGTCTTCATTATGATTGTAGATCTGGTTACGTGCCAGGATAATCCTTGTAAACATGGTATCTGTACTGATGAAGGGATAACGTTTACCTGTACCTGTGACAAGGGATACACGGGGACAGTCTGTGACACACGTAATTATCGTTATAGTAGTTTAACCATGAGATATGATCAGGTATTCACATAGTATCATATAGTCTCATAACACGACGAAAAAAGCAACACATTAATTAATTGTTTAGGATGGTTGATTCTAAACCTCCTTGGATTTTTTTTTCCAGTGGTTTCAATGTATTAGGCATGACTACATCTGAAAACAATAATATTTTTTTGTGTTATAACATACTTTTTAAATGACTTAACTGCTTCAGTGGAAACATTGGAACTTCCGGAGTCGGTTCGATATGTGGAATATGGCTTGTTGTCGTTGGTGTCCGTGATTGGAGTAATGGCCACCGGATGTGTTTGTCTGAAGTGTTGTCAAACCTTTGGCATCAACAAGAAAGGTGGTACTGACGATGATGATGATGAAAATGAAGAAGAAAAATGGAAAAAGAACAGGAAGAATCTGATTTTTCCACAAAAACACTCAAAATCAAAAGCCGTTTTGATGGACTTTTGAAACCAAAAGAATAACATTTTAAGTACTAGTACTTAATTGTACATGTAAGCTTTAAATAATATTAACTTTATTAGAAGGGTTACATCCAATACAAGCATGAGATTAAAAAAATATGTTAACATTTGACTTGTCTTACTTATCAAATTGAAAAAGGAAAAAGATTCGGCGTTCATTTTTAGTGTCAATTTAGATTCTGAAAAAATTTTAAAATAAAAAAATTGAAAATTTGAAGAGCATTCCATATCGGTATACCGTATTGTAATAACAGATTATATTTTTATCTAAATGTAGATTATTTTTCCGTTTTAATGCATATTCTTTGGGTTGTCGAAATTTTATTATTTCTTTAAAGAAAGGATCGAACTTTATTCGATTTATTTAATATTCGCATATTCTCTTCATTTAATATTTGAAATATTTTCAGCAAACCTATCTTTCTATAGTGGGCTTAGAGTAAAATAGGAGATGAAGTGAGCAATACTTTTAAATCAAATTTTCTGATAAATAAACAGTATTTAAGCTCAGAAATTCATTAACAATATAAAGTTTGGAGCAGAGCAAAAAAGACCTTTGAAACATTTGAGGTGGGATCAGGTGCCATGGAGGTGTGAGCATCCCTTTCGACCGGTCTCGTCAACTCCGTGCCCCTTGTTATGACCGGGAATTTACAGAAAAAATCGTCGACAAGTCTGTGTGTAAATTGAGACCATAACAAATACTGGTAGTATGAAAAACCTCTGTCAACATTCGACTTAACAATAGATTGTATATATTTTTGCTTCATCTACTTGTTTGCCAATAATTTACCAGGTACATCGTTTTAGAAAATGTTTATAACTAAAACATGGTCAGGCGTATCGAATAAATTGAGAAATATAAACCCCATTTGCAGTTGATGAATGTGCATGTATAATGCTGCATACATAAAAGAAGTTGAAATGTTAAAATCATCACCTTTATCGTAGAGTTTGGTCATAAAATTATCATTAACGTCTTTCTCTAGTATAATGCTTTTCTAATATCAGTGAATCTTATAATTTATGAATGGTCGTATACAAAATTATGACACTGTGCTAAAAATCGTTCCAATTATAAAAAAAAATATTAATTACATTCATTTTAGAAAGATGCCAAAATTCCTCATTGCCAGTATCTGTCAATAAATTATGTATAGAGAGCTTTCTTATTTTGTGTTTGTCAGATGTCAACATTCACGCATATTCTGTGTGTCGAGTTGCATTACAGAAATTATTGGATCCATAAGTAAAGATCTCTTTATTTGCTGTATACCCTACAGCGTTTTATCTAATTTTTTACTCATATTGAGAAGTTATCAACTTAAGGGATTGTTTAAATATAGGTCTTCTTCAATATCAAGCCCATGACACCGGGGGTCCTTAATCTTTCTCACTGGTTCCAAAGTTCACACGGTCTCCTCCGAAAAGATATCTGGTGACTTTTTTGAATTCTGAACTCCTAGCAAAAGAATAATCTTTACAAAATTTTATGGATCAGGTTTCACTTACCATAGTAACAGTAAATAGACACAACAGTAGAACGCGTCACACTGGAGCATGACTTGTTGATTCTTCTTCTGGGAAATCTTTCCATGAAGGGGCACGAGGCATATAGGAGCAATCTTTTTATATGTTTTCTATAGTATACTTTATATTTTCTATATATCGTCAAAATTATAGGGAGGGCTCCTGGTCCTATGGCCATGTCAAATGTGCAATTATAAGTAAAACATTTCGATAAAAAGAAACCAACATAACTGGATAAACAAGCGGATAAGAACACAATTAAGGACAAATATTTTGCATATTAGAACAAAATACAAAAAGCTCCTTTTTATAATAATGTAGAAAACTTACTTATTATTATTAATATTGAAGCATTTTTCCTTGCCTCAAGTTTATTAAAGGCAGTGCATGTATGGTTAAGGTAGAAATACATTCATGTTAGCAAAAATAAGAAATAATAAAAGTTCTTAGAAGTGTCTTATTTATATTTAAGCATAATTAGACAAACGTCCGTTTTTAATATAAATTCAAGCTTGGTTCAAATCATATAGAAAGCAAAGTCAAGCTAGTTCAAACTACAAAATTAAAATCATCATACTGCAGTGTAAATTCTATAACGATAATATCTTGATATTTTGAAAAAAAAATTACACGATCATCATCATATAAAATCATTTTTCTTCAGTCTTTATCAGTACTTACATATTATGTATAAACAATGTACATTAAAAATGCCTCATTTGTAGCATTGTTCTTGTTGACCTTATTCTGAAGAAGGAGGCACATAACTGTTTTGACCTATGAAAGTGATGTCAATATGATCAAATAAATTCATACTGTAGGATATACATTGACCTCCTTTTGTTTACTTTTGCTATTTATTTTCAATTCAATGTTTTAGGAAATGACTGCTCTAATTGACACTTTCTTGTAAAACCAGGACGATGCTTCTGATTTAACACTGATATTAAGCTTATTTTTTCAATACTCATACAGCTTTGTTAGGGTACTACAAACTTTTTGGGGCCATGGGCTGATTGCTGTGGAGCGCATGGACTTCAACGAGAGAATCAGACTCGTTATATATATTATTCAGTTGACGTAAAGTCGAAAACAGTGGTAAATTGTCTTGCAGCATGTAACTATTCTGGGACATACCCGATGCATGAAAAGCGACTATATTGTAGAAATGGTCAAAAGTGTAAAAGTGTCGTTATAACCAAGGATAAGAAGGTTAAATCGTTATTTTGGCTAGTCGCGTATTTAAGATTTTACATTTTTAAAATATATCTCCTTACAACTTACTGAACTGTTATGCAACATACACTTAATGTTCACGTCATAGAAATATGACATTACCTTTTCACGCAAGCATTTTATAGCGCGGTACAAGTTTCTCTAAAGTTTAGCTTAACGAGACCAGTCTAATTCGAGTGCGCATGACTTTGCACAGCTTTTTAATTTCATGTGACAGGACAGTATATCTTTCCCAGATACTGTAATTTGAATTCAAAATTAATATTATCTGTAACGCCTACTTGTCTGAAATGTGATTTTACGACAGTGATTAGGAATAAACGCTGAAATGGCTATAACGTCATCATTGTGTTCTGATTGTAAGTAATGCATGACGCTGAAGATTGACACATGACTCGCTTATATGTTCAAGACGTCCGTGGAAATTATACTAAAAACTGATGTCAGGACATCAAAATAAACATTCTAGATAGCAATCTTAACATTGCTGCTTTTACCCCAAAAATCATCTGCGCCCATAATTCATCTGCAAGGATACCGTATAAGTGGAAATTTTAGCGAGACGCAAATTTAGCGATTTGTCCTTAAAAACTGGTAGCTTACTTTTAGCGATATGTTTTTTAGCGATTTTAAAATGTACATTAAAGAAGCTACCGGTATTACAAATAAAACTCAATTAATTTTTAGAGACATTCAATTTTAGCGATCTCGGCACCCTCGCTAATAATGCCAAAATCAAATCCTCGCTAAAAATTCTTCTTATACGGTATGTATTTATGCCACAATATGGCAATTTTAGAGGTATTACCGGACATTGAAAAAATAGACTTTGTAATTAATTCCTCGACTAAGCTAGATCGTCAACGTTTTGAAATTTAACAATTTGGTGATATTCTACAATCAACATGACTAAAAAGAAATCTCTAGATCAGAAATACAAAAAAATATTTTTAAAAGGTGATAATCTGTGAAAATTGGTTTAAAAAGAATTATTTCATGTAATGTTTTTTAAATAACTTCATCCAAAGTGAACTTGCACGTAAAACATGAGTAATAAGCGTTGTCCTTTAACAAAATTACAAGTCATTAATACTTCCAGTCCGGTACTTTTAATGTTCAAAGGAATTCTTCAATCAAAGTGGTGTCCAAGAGTTATAACAAGTTACAAAATATTTATCACATGCAATCCTTTGTTGATTTACAAAGGAGGTACAGAACTTAAAATTCTTCATAATCTAAACAAGGATCATGTCTTGTTTTTGTTTACTTGTAGAAATATCTTTTTTTATGACAAAACAAGATTCAGCATGTAGAAATATCATTTTTCTAGCAAAACAAGTTTAGCAAACTATTAAAAACTGTTTCATTGATTTTCGAATTAACTTCTTTATTTAAAAAATCTGCTTTGCATGAACATATTTTAGTATATTTAACCTACCAGGTATGTAAACAAAATCATTGCACGGTCCTTGTTTACATAACAAAGGTTTGGAGCTCTAAATATATCTTGTTTCGGAACAACTGATATTCAAATTTTTGATAATCATTTAAAAATACCTTAGTTCATTATTTGTAAACAAATAAAATTGAAAAATAACTTTGAAAATGTTTCGCTGAAACTGTATCTATGTCCCTTTAAATTGAAATAAATTATATGCTTATGCAAACATCAATTGGACGAGCTTTAAGCTGTTTGAATCTTAACTACACAAAACAAATACCAAGTATCTATATATTTTTGATATTGTCAAACAACATGAATTGTTTTATCTAGTAAAGTGTAAATATAATAGAAAACTTAACACACTGTAATATATTGATTTTTTCAGAGAGTTGTGGTTACATTAATAACTTGATCCCTTAGAAAATTTATTGAATACATGTTTTTCAATACATTCAATGGAAATTAATGTTTGTAATAATAAATGTAAAGAGGGAAAGTTGACGAGGGATGCTGGTCATCCCGATTAACTTTTTTCACGCAATATAAAGAGATAACGAACAGTTTTCAAGCTCAAACTTTCATTAATCAGATATCGAAGCAGAGCACACATGGACCTCTAAAACATCAGAGGTGGGATCAGATGCCATGGAGGAGTGAGAATCCACTGCCTGCCGTTCACACCAGTCGTGTGCTCCTTGGCATGATCGGGAAACAACGAAACAATCCGTCGACAATTCAGTGTGCAAAAATTTTTTTAACAATAAATACGACAAATTCCAGTCAGCATTCATCTTATTGACGCGCTTACATCAAGATATCTAGCACCTGTTAGACCAAAGTATGAGGGAT